AGGACCTGACCTTCAGGCCAATGGACCACCACAGCATCCAGTGACACCAGAGATATTTGGTAGTGTGCAGCATTTGGATATGGATCTATGTGCATATCTTTGGGATGACTGAAAATACTGACCACTCATACAGGCATCACAGAGACACCAAAAAACAAACCGGCAGATATTGAAGCATTACAACAACGGGGGGAAGAAGGGGAGAGTTTCCTTCAGACCATAGCCCTTAACTTTCCAAGATCATGGAGCCTGACGATCAGTTGCCTCTCATTCAGAGCAGCCACCTCCATAAACTGGGTGTGAAAGACTTGCTCTGTCTTGGCAAGATTTTGCATTAATTTTTAAAGGGTATAGAAAGACAGACATGGAACAAGACAATGGAGCCAATAAGCTAATCAAATTTGTACTTTCATACAAACCTTGCATATAATTAGCTAAGTAGTAAAACACTGTTATGGTGGATTCCATCAAGTTTCCAAATGGAAAACCAGCAGCAGCCAACTTGAATTTTCCATCAGCTTCAACACTGATTTTCAGCTGGATTTCCACTTCTAACTTTAAAACTTCAACACAGTCATGAAATTCAAGATAAAAGCTAGTGTTTTCTTTAGAGCATATATTCACCTTTTCTGAATCCCTTAAATATACTTCTCCAAATTGTGCATTTTACAAGCTCTTACATGGTACCAGCAGTAATAAATTGAGGTTGTCTGCCTAGTGGTTTCGTTGAATCATGTTTGGATATATCTATACATAAGAGAAAAATATACAGCCTTTGGAAATGTCCTGTTTCCTAAAAGCCATGGGACACCAAGAACATGAAAAATCTGTGAGCTCAGAATGAACAAATGGGCAAAACTTAAGTAAAACATTGGCTTTACAGACATAGGAATGGGAATTCCTTGTGAAGCACATACATCAACTTCTTTTTGCTTCTTTTTTGGTCTCTCCCTCCCCATGTTGCTCAGCACTTACTTCCTGTATATTCATAAGAAGGTTTTCATTGTCTGAAATGGAGAAGACAGATATTCTCCTCCTTGTCCCTCCAGCTCTTTCCCCACTCTTCTTTCCAAACCAAAACAGCAGAAACGAGGCAGGACTTCAGCACTTGTGCCCAAGGCAACGCAAAGCTGGCGGACGCCAACCAAGGGCACACAGAGAGTGGTAGACATCACAGCCTCACACGAAACCCAGGACTATATTGCAAATTGCTTGCAGTGAGGTTCTCCTTCAACTCAGGTTTTGTACTGGCAACATCGAAACACGCTTATTCTCATCTTTCCTAGTGGAAAGCTCCTGAAGTGAAACTAGAAGTAAATCTTTCGCTCTCATTCACTGCTTTTATTAATGGTTTTGGCCATGTCAGCCTACCCAGAAGACACAACCAACAGGGAAGAGTTGCCTGACAATTATCTTGTTTCCCAAAATTTCTCATCTTGCAACAAACTCAATTTAAGAGTTGCTTGAACTGCCTAGGCTGCAACACAGGTCCTTTTTTTTTCATACAGATTTACTCTTGGGAATGACGAAGTATTTTCTGTTTTGAACCCCCTTTTTATTAGCCCAAATGGATTTCCTTGGTTGTTAACCATCCAACAAATGCAATCTGATTCTGAGTCACTGGACAAAGAGCAGGATGGTGGCACATGGATCACCTCCCCCTACCCTCTGCCATACCGCTACTCCAAGCACACTTTCATTTTTGACACTGACGTGACACCAGGAACAGTCTTTCTTGGCCAAGACCACTCACACACATTGTATTTGCTAATTGCTACACAAAACATGGTTCTCCTTTGCTGCTGGTGAAAGATACGTCATCCCTACAAGGATTCACATTGTCATCTAGACAGTGTACGCAGGAGAAAGCATAAACTACCAGTGTTAAACTAGCAGGTTGCCTGCAGTCTGCCCTAGCAAGGCAAAGTGAAAACCTAAACATTTTCCATGAGACGTGCTGGTGATTATCGACTCATTTTTGTGTGTTGGTTTTTTGGCGCGTTATTGCTTGGCTTCAAACGCATGCCTGCAGGACTTCTGCACCCACCAGGCAGCATCACCGACATTTTGCAGTTGCTCTTTGCATTTGTATTTTCCCAGAATACAAAAGCACAGTGCTCAGCTGACCACTACTGTTTTTCCAGTTATGCCCATGCATTTGTTCAGATGCATCCACTTAGTAACTTGCCTGTTGGCATTTTGTGGTACATACGTATTGATGAAATTTTCCTGGAAGAAAGGTCATTTGTGGTGGGGAGGGAGGTGTGGGTGGACTGGCTGATGAAGACTCCCAGCTGGAAGCAGCTGCAGGGAACCAGGAGAGATCTCCCATTCCTCACGAAGAAGAGTTAATTCCAGTGCTGGCCCAGCATGCTGCTCATTCATTGCCAAGCCCAGTTCGGTCTCAATAAAGCAGCTCATAACAACATGCTAGAAATCTTTTTGGAGAGCTTAAGCTAGAGGATAAAGTTCATGGAAATCAGTGAATGCGCGATAGCCATTTATTCTCCTCTGGAAAAAAATATGACAATCCATTTATATATTCAGAATGAGCATATTTGTAAAGGGACAGGTTAGAGTAAGCTGGCTCACAACGCTACATCGAGGGGGACCGTGGGGAGGGACGGGATCTGAGCCAAGGGACACCACTTCGCAGGCAGACAGGCTGGGCAGCACCTAGCGAGGGAGGGGGCAGGAGGGAGGCAAAAGGAGCAGCGCGAAGCCTTGGACTTGGACAGGACACAGCAAACACCACGGACAACTCGGGGAACCTCTTCAGGGCTGACATGGACACAGCGTGGGAAGAGACACTGAACTTGTCATCTCACCTGACCTAATGAGACTGCTGATATTAATCCCCCACAAAATTTCACATGGAACTCACATTTCAGACACTGCTAGGAAGGGATGGAAACAGCAGTACTAACAGAAAAAAGGTAGGAGACTTTCCTCCTGGTAGGCAGAGGCGGGAAGACACTCTCTAATGTGGTATTTCATAATCAGCAATTCAGCAGTAAGTGGGAGAGAACTTGAAATAACGTACAGAAATGGAACAAGGACATGCCATAAAGCCGCCAAATACATACCAGAGGAAAACTCCAAGTCAATTCAGTACTGCGCCTAGGGGCAACACTTTTCAGTGAACTCGGTTAAAATATCACGTCCTACGGTATTTTAGCTCTCTTCTGGGGACAAATTGCCCCAAAACAGCTGCTTTGAAGGCTTAGCTGTTGAAATAATCAAAAAGTCTGGCCTCCTAAATAAAAGGGAACCACCTCAGATCTACTTTACGGGGGGGCGGGGGGGGGGAAAGGAAAAGAAAAACATTCATTTACACTGTGTAAACCTGCAAGATTTGCAGAGTAAGTTGTAAGAGTAAGATCTACAGAGCAAGTCCGGTGTATGGCACTAGAGACAGAAATAAATTGTCATCACGATTCATGAAAAATCTTTAATGGAATAAAAATAACTCCTATTTAACTCTAGTACTCTGCAGAATTACAATATCCAAATCCTCAGTTCTTTGCAGGATTGAAAACTAAATTTTCTACAAACTACAAGTAGTTCCCCAGCCTCCCATCATGAACTCTAGCGGACAGAATAAAAAGCTAGTGGGAAACACATTTCCCAGGTTGAAAAATATTATTAAGGTGAGAAATGTGACCAACATACATTGAAACACTACTGTATATCACACTTCTGGAGAAATAGTCACTAAGCTACCTTTTATTAGCAGTTTCTACAACTTTTCTAACATCAGAAATACAGCAAAGATTGTCTCAAGATTTCAGTACTTCTGTAAAATAAATGTCTCAAGTTAACAGTATAATGGTTTATAATATTGAGAGCACTGGATAAAACAAAATACGCACAGGATAAATAAATGCTATTCGGTTTATGAAAGGCAGCAAGAAAAGCACCAAAATACTGCAAAAAAAAGCAGAGTTGGCTCAGGACTGAAAAGGAAAAAAAATCAGTGTTAACACACTAGACACGAAGGCTCACGGACCCAGACGGACAAGATAGCCTGCTCCTACGGGCAAACGTTACTGTGCACCTCCGGGGAGAGCAAAAAGATCCACATCACTTCAAAGAGCGACTTAGAGGAGAGGTGCTCGGCGCCGCTGGAGGCTGGGAGCAGGGGCTGCCCGCCCTGGCTGGGGAGCCAGGACGGCTCGCTGCTCTTGAGAGACTTGGCCGGATCGCCGCGGCGGGAGCGAGGGCACCGTCCCGTCGGACGTGGGTACCTGGACTGACGTGCTCCCTCACGCCTCGCCTGCCCTGTGTACACCGCCTGCTGATACCTTAAGCGCGGCTGATGCAGGGGAGAAAAAGCCCTCAGAATATATCCCTCTCTCACCATCTAGCCATCAGAATCCCGTTGACTTCACTTCTTCTCCCAAAGAGATAATCCTCAGCCTTGATCCTCAGTCTTTGCCTGGTTCTCCATTTCAATGGGAGGGGAAGATCTGGCTCCTTGGGGCTCACAGGAGAACGGTGATCAATGTCCGTGGCCTTTTCACAGACTTGCCTCAGCGTGGGTAACTCACCCACCAGGAAAGTCATCTTGCATTAGGTCTTCACAGCTGCTGGACCTTGGTTTCGCCTCACCCAGCTTCCCCCAGCCCACCCCTTTGTGTAAGACCTCATGATGCACACAAATAACTTCCCATAATAATTCTGACAATCTCTCTGCTTCTTGCTGTATCAGAAGGTGCTGCTCTCCCTGCAGCAAGGTGGCAATTTAAATTTGTGCTTTTGCCAAGTGCCTAGCTTTTCATTGGACAGTAGTCGGGACGGGGGCATAATGTGGGAATACACCAGCTGTGGCAACAATAACGGCGTGATAGAGCGCGTGGCTACTCAGAAAACAAAAGGGAATAATTTTCCGCTGTTGCTGCATCACAACCCCAAGAACACAACTGAACAGCAGGAGTTGAGACTCGAGCGGAGGGATTCTCTCTGCCACCACAGACACCTATGAACCCCTGCAAACCACATCAGTCCAACACAGAAGAGGGAGTGGGTCGGACGCAGCAATTAGGTCGCCTAAAATTCTGCAGCATGGACTGGAACACGTTGTGCTGCCTCCCCTTCAGTTTTTTATTTGAGGATGTATCAGAGGAAATGGATTTCCGGGTCTGACTGTTCTGGACCCGGATCAGTTTCTCGTGTTCCCGTATTTGTCTCTGTAAGTGGTTCTGGATGGCAATTCCCAGGGATTCCGGATCAAGGGAAGCACCGTAAACCTCCCACGTCATGCCTTGCTCATCCCAAACAACATCCCTGACATGTTTGGACTGCTTCACCCGCACATTTGCCTCCATGGCTGGCGTGGGCTGCTTCTTGTTTTCTCCCAAGTTTGGCAAAGCCTCAGCTGCAGCAGGAGGAGCTGCTGTGTGGAGCTCACATCTGGACTCCTTGGCCTGGAGGCCTTGCTGCCGGGGACCTGCTGATGTCTCCAAGGGAGGGGTGAGACGCGCAGAGCTCGCACCCAACTTGGGAGTCAGTCCTGCCTGTAGGCTCTGGCCACCAGCCATCTGAGCCTGGCCAGTGACTCCATGGTCTCTGCTCTCCTCCTTCTCACCTGCATCCTCCGAGCATGCCTTTGTGCAGACAGCAGCAGGCTGGATGCTAACATTCATCCCTCCTTTACCATCAAGCACCATCGAGTTTTCTCCCCTTGGTTTTACCACAGATTGATTAGGAACGGCTTCCCTTTGACTTGCACCCTTACACTGCGCAGTTTTTTGCTCAGAGCTGCCCAGGACCTCTTTCTGCTTGACTTCTCCATCTGTGCTACAGAGTGAAGGTAACCGGCTGGTTCCTGCGTCATGGACAACATCTCGCATGTTGTTCTCGGTTCTTGGGACAGCGGCAGTGGAAGTGGTGCCTGGTTCACCATCGCCAGACCCAGACTGTGCTGGAGTTTTATTACTGGAGTCAACTGCAAGCTGCTCCACAGGGATGGGCTTTGGTGGGAGTGGAGCATCCATCGGCAGCCGAGCAGCATCTTTGCCATCATGGGCTGCACCGGTCATTTCAGCATTACCCATAGACGACCCTTGGGAGGTAACGGCTGCAGGGGACAAGGACAGAGCAGGTTTTGCATTATCTGCTGAGGCTGGAGACACCATGTCAGATGGGACTCCAGTCAGTTTGTCAGGCTGAGTTTGGCCCGAAGCAGTCACAGCCATAACAACAGTCGGTTTTGATGTGATACCAGGAGAACACGGGGACTTTTGTTGTGAGGACAAACTGTCAGTAAGTGCAGACTGGCTCAGCCCCACACCTCCTTGGTAAATTATGTGCAGTTCTTCCTTCTCCTCTGGAGGAGGATTCCCTTTTAAGAAGGCAGCAAGGATACTGGGGCTGGTGGAAGCTGATCTGCTCTCCATGGTAGCCACAGCCTGAACCTCAGCATCTCGCCACGTCCTGCTTACTGCTTCCTGAGTTGAAGAGCCGCTCTCGGACTGCACTGTCATTGTACCTGTTTCTCTGAATTTGGAGAGCTGTGTGGGGCCTGAGCTCCCCGGCTCGGTGCCCGCATGGCGTATGGGACACGGACTCTCGTGGCTAGATTGGGCTGGTGCCTTGTTGCTCTGCACCGCTTTGCTCTTATCCGAGGGATGCAACTGCGCGGTGTCCGCAGCCCCGCTTTTTGCCTCAAAGCCAGTCTGTGGGACTCTCCCCAGGTCAGCTTCAGTGTGCCTCACTGGCAAGGCTGACTGACACGCAACATAATCACTTTTTTCTGCTCCCATGTCTTTTTCCCCTCTTTGCAGAAGGTTTGCCTGAGAAGTACAACAGGACTCATTGCCCCTAATAGGGTCGCCCGGGGAAGAATAATTTAACACCTCAAGTGCCGGCTGCTCATCAGTCCCCTGAGGTTTCAAGGCAGAGTCATCCATTTGCAGCTGGGAGCTCGTTTTGACCCGGCTGCCTTGCACAAACTGCCGGGAGCTTGGCGGTGCTGGCATCGGCTCTGGCC